CTGTGGGCCGCGGGGCCTGCGGCCTAACCCGCCCGGCCGGGAGCAGGAAGCGGGTGATGTAACCGCCTTCCTGCGCCGCCTCCCGCGGCCGGCCCGGGCGGTGCCTGTTTAACACCGGGGCCTGAGGAAAGAGGGAGGGTTTTAGGCTCCTTTGGAGTTGTTGTGACCTCGGAAACGGTTTGTTTCCTGGCGAACTCCAATGGAAAACAGCCTCGGTGCTCCCCGAGTGGAAAACTTTCCAGCTGCTTAAATGCATAGAATCCCAGCCTGGTTTGGGTTGAAGGGACCTTAAAGCTCCTCTAGTTCCAACCCCTGCCACGGGCAGGGACACCTTCCACTAGAGCAGGCTGCTCAGACTGTGTTGTAAGTATATGCAAATCATAATACGATTAGATTTCCCCCCCTCCTTCCAAGCCAAAAAAGTAAGGGTTTTCTGGTTCCTGACATAACTCAGTTTGAGTGGGTTCTAATGTTTAGGTTGGTGTTGGGTTTTTTTCCTTCTTTATTTATTTGGAGCATATTTTCACCCTTCATAAAAAAAAGTTTGCAGTTTAATATATCTACTTGACTTCCAGGCTATTTATGGTGTTGATAACACTTTAGGCAACTTATTTTCTTACCGAGGTAGGGTGCTAGTTTCCTTTAGCTACCACTAAACTCGCTTCCATATTAGATGTAGCATAGCTAGGCTTCTGGGCCATTGATCTGTTGAAATCGCTGTAGGTAATTCCTCTTTGGACCCGGGAGGTTTGTTAATCCCTGGTGTGGTTGCTCCTCTTCCAGGTGGCTATGGCTACAGGACAGGTGCTATTTCAACGTTTCTTTTATACCAAGTCTTTTGTGAAGCATTCCATGGAGGTAAGAAAACACTAAAATATGTACATGGCTAAAAAAGCTACTTCATCTTTGATCTGTTTTGGCAAGTTGTCATCTTAGAGGTGATCAGAGTGTTAGTAACTTTTACTTACTGATCAATATGACTTTATAAAGCTCATAGCACTGATTTTGCCTAATCTTTAGTATTTCCTTGTTTTACCACCACTTATTATCCCTCCTTAAGCTGTTGGAGGAGATGAGTTCCTGGCCTGAGCAAAACATCAGTATCTTGCAATACCTCTGTTTCAGCATGTGTCAATGGCCTGTGTTCACCTGGCATCCAAAATTGAGGAAGCACCAAGGCGCATAAGGGATGTGATTAACGTGTTCCATCGGCTCAGACATCTACGGGAAAAAAAGTAAGCTCAAACTTGGACATAATCTGAAGTGTTTCTGTTGTATTTTAAGTGTTAAACTTCATGGGCTGGTGATAGGGTCATTCCCTGTCCCATACATCAGGGAGTGTCTTGAAGAGATCTCATAAAGGAGAAGAGTGAGGTGAGCCATGTTATGAATAGTGGTGTCCTTTAACACAAACACAGCCTGCATATGAGCACTCTTTGAGATCAAGATCATCTTCAGTATTTGAAATTATCTTGCAGAAAACCTGTGCCTCTAATACTGGATCAAGAATATGTGAACTTGAAGAATCAAATAATTAAGGCAGAAAGAAGAGTGTTAAAGGAGTTGGGATTTTGTGTTCACGTGAAGCACCCTCATAAGGTTTGTACTGTATAAGTTAACTTTATGACCAGTGATTCACATGCTTATAAATCTTTTGAATAGCTGCCTAACTGCGTGGAAAGTGTATGGTTGTAATGATAAAGCTAGTTAATTCAGTAAAGCTAGCTTCTTATGATCCCAATCTCTTCTTTCTCATTTAAGAGATTCATACTAGTTGGTCTTGTATCACTGCTGAGTGACGACTGGAGGTGGATACAGATGCTAAGTATTCCTTGAAGTCAAATCACATAAGTAGGTGTTAGAAAACATCAACTAAACCCAGGTTCTTAAGCAGAAAAGAATTTGGAGACTTAAGGTTGTGGTAGTCTCTTATCCCCTTGTGGAAACATGCTGAGGTTATGAAACCCATATGAGCTACTTAAGTGTTTCTTATGTTCTAAAAAGTATATTCAGGTGTGAAGGGCTTGATAGAAACGAGATAGTTCTCAGTACTTAAGTATCACATGCCAGATCAGGATGATAGTTGAGATGCAACTACTGCAGATGTTTAAGTTGGTGCTTTAGTACCATGAGCATTATGCCGTAAGTAGCTAAGCGGTAAAAGAACCTCCTGCTTCTGTGTCAGCAGAACTTGGGTTCTTGCTCTTTCTTCCTCTAAAAACTATCACTGTTTAAAGTCATCTTCTTAAACCTACTTGGCTTTCAGAATTCACTCATGTTATCAGAACCCCAGAGGACAGTTGTACTGGGTTGCTAGAGGGTGTGATTTTCTTGCTGTTAGTCTTTTTATCTGCATCCTTGTTTTCAAACCTAAGAAAAAAGCCTGGAACTGAATAAACCAGTGACACACATGCTGGAGATCTGTTCTCTGCAAACACTGTTCTACTTCTTTACTGCTTATTGCAGCTAGCAATACTTTCTCCCAAGCTACAGCTAAAAGGAATCATGAGTTGTATAGAGAACATACCTAGCTTGAAAACAGTTGAAGAGGAGACATCTAGATGAATAGCATGGTGCCTGAGCACAGAAGATGGAGAGCTAGGAAGGTCAGAACTGGTTGAGTGGCCAGCTTTTGCACTGGAGAGCAGAAGCTGTGTGGAGAAACACTGGGAATGTTGCAAACACACTCAGGTGGAGCGGTTTAGAACTTGAAAGAGTTACAGATGCCTCATGGATGTCCCTCTGAAATAAATAGGTGGCTCTCAAGATGCTTGTTAATAACTCGATCACCCATATCTTCCAGATAATCGTTATGTACCTTCAGGTATTAGAATGTGAACGTAACCAACACCTGGTCCAGACATCATGGTAAGTTGATTTTCTTTGTTATAAGAGACCAGCAGGGGCAGTAGCAGAAATATGTCACTTGAGGCACTCTGGGCAGCATTGCTCAGAAATGATTGTGGGCCACACCAGACAGCTCCACTGCTTCTTGGCGTGCCCCACGCTACTACCCAAATGTTGATCGGCCTCTTAAGTTAGAGGTGCTGTTTTAATGGTAAGGTAGCTTTCCACCCCGACTTCTCACTTCCCTCCTCTCTGCTTTTGCTTTTCAGCTGAAGGGAAAAGTGTTGGGTGGGTTGTAGTGTTTCCTTGGGCTTTCTGTTTTCAGACACAACTGTGTGTAGTTAAAGTGCTGGGAACTGGCTTTTTCCAGGGCTTGAGCTCGATTACAGGCATATGAAACACTCAGCACAGCTCCATTTCATTAACTATATGGATAATGCAAGATGTCAGCTTCTAAGACTGGATAAACTTTTTCATGTTTGCCAAGAAATACCCTCTGCCTTGTTGCTCTCATTACAATAGAGATTTGCGTGGGAATGGGAAGCTTATGTAAAATTCCAGGTCTTAAACTTCACAAGTAATGCTTTTGAACAATAATGCTTTATAACAATAGTGTGGCTTAAAAAACCTTTAGTGAATCCAAAGATCATATTTCTGCTGACTGAACTGTCTGGTACTGTAACCTGCGTGTAGAGAACCAGTTTTGACTTTTCTTTTCTGTACTCTTTTAATCAAAGGGTAGCCTCTGAGGGTAAGTGACTAAGACTTCTCCTCTGCTGCCCAAGCGCTATGGTGCAGGGATAGCTGCCGTCTTCAGTCAAACCAAAGCAGGCTCTCCAAAGAGAAGGCTGACTCTAGACAGGTGGTATATACATGATAGTATAGTAACTGGCCAACTGCTTCTTGTGCTTATACTTTTTAACTTTTATTTTTAATGTGCATTTTGACTGTTTTGTATATTTTATAACCCAATTGTTGACGTTCTGAAAGATATTTAATGTTCGATTTCGGTAACTGTTAAAACGGTGTATTCTTAAAGCAGATTAAGGTGGGATTTAAGTCTTTAAGGGATGAATTAACACAAACTGAAATCTAGTTTCCATTTGTAAACTAGTTAGAAAGCATTTGAGTACGTGTGTGAAGCTTGGAGTCAAATGTAATACTTGGAGAAACTTCCCACAACCAGATTTCCCAGTACTGCTGCAGGAAGTACTCAGTGAGTTGTGGACTACTCGTTTCCAGTTTCCTACTTTTGTTATGAAAGGAGGGGGTAGGTGAGGAGGGAGGGAGGAAATTACCCCAATTGAGAAATGGCTTATATGTTAAAACAGCACATTTATGTGCTTCCCCTCCCAGTACCTGAGAACTGGTGGGTATCCAGTATCATTGGGTTTTGAAATGTGCTTTTTCACAGATTACCTTTTTCGTAAACTATTGTGACAAGGATTCATTTCCTCACATGTCTGAATCTGAGCCCACAGGGAAGATAAGCAGAGGCCAAACTTGGAAGCAGGCATGTTTTCAGTTTGGCACATTAGAGAGAGGCTCTCTGACTCCCACGTGTTTGAAGTACTACTTTTCTTTATCACTTCTTTTGCCAGAAGGTTTGTGCTCTCTTTGTAGTGGGGGCAAAAAGTAGGTTTTGAAGTTCCTTTTTGCCAGAAAGATGAGCTGATGTTTAACATTGCTTCTCTGGGGCAGCAGTTGCTCTTTGTATAAACAAGAATGCAAGACAACTGGGGCAGGTGGGAGCTTGATACTCTTAAGACAAAAGAACTTTAATTCTGTCCTGTAGTAAACTAGGTTACAGGTGTCTGGACTGTGGTCTCTGGTTTGGATGTCCTGGAGGATAGTGAATCCTTGTATACTGGGTACCCACAAGGTTAATTAGTTATTCCAGAAAGCATATTATTTTGAGGACTTTCTGATGTGTCTGGTTTTAGCTTTTCCCCATCTGATACTTTGCTTAAGTGCTCAAAAAAAAAAGCTAGATCACTTTAAGCACATCAGCTGACAGATTCAGAGGAAGTTACTTTGTGTACTTAAGATTTACAAGAATAATGCTTAAGTGTTACTGACTGGAATATGTGCAATATTTTACAGTTTTCTCATTCTGTGAACATTCATTTTTAAGCAACCTTACTGAAATGGGACAATTTGGAAACCTTATTTCATGTGCCAAAGAGGAGATCTGCCTGAATACTGACTATTCTCCTGAACTGATGTTCCAAGCACCCCGATTTCTTCTGTGGCTGCTTTTTGCATCAAAAAGAACACTGTTCTGGATGGAAAATAATGCTCCTGGAGGAAAAGGGACACCTTAAATCCCCAGTGGACCTTGACGTGTGCTGAAGTGAACCACGTTTTCATGGGAGACCCACGCCAGGAGCTGCAGCTTTCGGCAAACCATCTGGGTTCAGCCCTATTGCAGTGAAACATGTGAACCTAAAAATCTATAACTGAGTACTTCAGATTATATTGTATGTTGTCTTGATGAAATGTTCATTGCATGAGAGCAGGCCAGTAGTGATCCAGAAGGAAAAGTGGAGTTAAAATTGGTTCTCTCTTTCACAACTGAATTTTCAGCAGTCAGTCGATTCAATGTAATTTGTCACACATCCCTCCCCTTGAGGGATTTATATTTTATTTAGTGAAATGATTCAATTTTTCTTTAGATTTACAGGAGTATAATATTGAAGTCTAATAACTGCAGACATAAGTAGCCCTTATAGAAGTAAAACCAAAACAAAGCCACCCAACCACCTTTTGCAGTGCCATGCAACTTTGCTGCTATCCTGTCTTTCAGGAACTACATGAATGATAGCCTGAGAACAGATGTCTTTGTAAGATTCCAGCCAGAAAGCATTGCCTGTGCATGTATTTACCTGGCAGCTAGGACACTGGAGGTGAGCACACAGTTCCATTCATGGCAAGTTTGTTAGGTCTTTTGTAGAATCAGAAAACTGAGCTCATCTTCCCTTCCCTTTCAGATTCCACTTCCTAATCGTCCACACTGGTTTTTACTCTTTGGAGCAACAGAGGAAGAAATCCAAGAAATCTGCTTAAAAATCTTGCAACTTTATACTCGGAAAAAGGTTTGCTGCTTTTTCTTACTTTTCATTAAAGGCTTTGGGTTAGAACATGAGTTCTGAGAGAACATGGAAAGCCTTATCCCATTCGAAACTAGCTGCAAGCCTGGCATGTTAAGTGGAACAGGAAAGTAGTCACAGTGTCTGGGGCTCTTTACCCCCTGTAAGTGAGTAAGCACAGTTTAGTTGACTTGAGTTTTGTTGTAAGTGGTGCTCCTGTGTTCACAGGTTGATTTATCTGACCTGGAAAGTAAAATAGAAAAGAAGAAATTAGCTATCGAAGAGGCAAAGGCGCAAGCGAAAGGTCTAGTGCCTGAGGGAGCCCCGAGTTTGGATAACACAGCAGGATTTTCCCCTATCCCGAAAAATGGTAATTAGTGGATAACTTCTTTTTAATGACTCTTTCTCATCTTGGATGTCTGTTTACCCTTTTGGGGTGCATATACATTGTGGTTTGATTTTTGTTTAAGCTGGCTTCTAGCAGCTATGCAAATGGCAGAGTTTGAGTAGCAGTGTAACTTTGTGATCTCTTGAGACAGGTAAAGGCAAAAATCAAGTTAGTCTGAACTTAACACTGGTTTAAACTTGTGTAGCACAGGGGCTGGCTTTTATGTGGTTTTGGCAATCAACTTGAACAAATACTTGCAATTGGCGTATTATGCTGAAATGATATTAAAACACAGGTGTGACCAGGAGCTCTGGCAGGAGTGTTTTGGGTGTTGGGAGGAACATTCTCCTCTCTACTTGGTCAGAAGTTTCCAGTCCAGTGCAAGTCTTGCCTAGAAGATAATTTGAACCATCTTCCTTCTCAGTTTACCTTTAAAAAGATCCTGAGTAATTGGCAAGAAGAGGAAGCTGCTGTTCTGCCTTGAAGTGGCTTTGAAAGCAACATGTTCCTATCAGTTAACTCCCTGGGGTTACTTGAGTGATTTGGCAGAAGTGTTTCAGATTAACTTCTGCCTTCTGTGAACTTCTTCAGATCTACTTCTTGTGGCTGGCTGTGTGTGCACACGTATGCAAACTGCATGTGTACAGTGCTGAGTATTGCAAAGATGATGAGATGGGGTGAGGGGAAGCTTCAGTCCTCCTTTTGGTCACTACTCGTGCCTTCAAAATAAGGTAACAAAAACTTGTTCTCATAGAGTCTCCCAAAGAAGTTAAAGGAAATAAACCTTCACCGCTGCCTGTTCAGGCAATGAAGAATGCTAAAAGGAAAACAGAGGGAGCAAAAAGAACGAGTTCAAATAGCCCTGTCAATGGGTAAGGCTTTCATAAAGAAGCTTCTTTCTTTTTTCCCCATGACTACTTTAAGCAAAACAACTTATTGTTTGTCGTCCCTTACAGTGTTCAGAAAGGAAGGGAAAGCAGAAGTCGAAGTGGAAGTAGAGATCAGAGTTACTCAAGATCACCATCCAGATCTGCATCCCCTAAGCACAGGTATGCAGTATGTAGAAGAGCAGCAAGCTGTGGGGAGCTCCCAGGCTATAATCTTGCAGACTGAGCTTTGGTAGTTCCTCAGCTAAAGGGGCTGTGAAAGAACATAGCAGTATGTGCTGGTAGTTAAAACTCCAGAAGCCTAATGGCTGAGACTTGACCTGTCTTGGCTCACAGGTCAAAGGAGTTGCAGTGTCTGTCCTTGTCCTGCCTGTGCCAAACAGACTGGAAAGAGAGTGTAAGCATTTTGGGACATCTCTGAATGTCAGCCTATTTGTTAGTGACACATAAACCCCCAAGCAGCAGGGGTAGTTTGTTGGTCTGGGGGCTTTATATTTAAAGTTGGGCATTTGTGGCTGCAACCTTCCCTGGGTTCTGTTCTTGCTGAACTGTGCTGGAGTTGGGAAACTATTTTCTGCAGTGGATGAACTCTTGATCTCCAGCCTTAGTCCCATTGGCAGTTGTTCCTGCAAAACCTTACGAAATATGAAATGATCCTGGTTTGTATCTGGTTGAGAGCAGGAGCAGAGATTGTGCCCCTCGGTCAGTGCAAGTTTGACTTCTTATTCCAGAGTTATGCCATTGGGTTTGGGTATGAACTGATAAAGTCTGGCTTTATAGTAAAGTGTATGTAGAAAAGACCAAAGCTAAAATCTGCTGATTAAAATTCTTCAGTGTTGAGTTCAAAATTGTGTTTTAGTAATTATCTGAATTTAATGAAACATCTTGAAAATCTGTTTCTGTACTGCCTTTGACTTTGAAGTTCAGCAGATAACTATAATACCTGAGAGGGGAAAACAGAGCCAGAAAGGAGCCTTAACTCCAAACTTGGGGGTTTTGGTGACTGTAGTACTGTAACAGAAGCAGGAGAAGTAGTTTAACTTTTGTCTTATTGTTGGCAGCACTTCACATGTAGTCACTGATGCGTGTTTTCTAAATAGCAAAGGGAAAACCCATAAATCTAAAACTGAGCCATGATACTGAACTCCAAATGGATATGGCTGTCTAAGAATCACTATTTCTACAGTAACCAGATGTGCTCAAGTCTAGGAGACACTAGTTTTCATGGGATACTGAACAGTGGAACACAGAATCAAGGACCTGGTCTCAAACTACGCTTGCACACCTTGGGAGAAGCCTTTGTCTATTGGTACTTTAAAGTGTGTGTGTATTGTGACTGCGTTTAGGTGCTGATAGCAATGTAGAGTAACTATTTAATATTAAGGAGTGTGTTTTCTCTCCTGCTTCCATAGGAAAAGTGAAAGTTACTCCACATCCAGCGGCTCCAAATCCCACAGCCGTTCCAGGAGCCGCAGCGACTCTCCCCCACGACAGTTCAACCACAGTTCCAGCTACAAAGGCTCGAAGGTGAGAAGCTACAAGAAATCAAAAGACTACAAATACTCGACACACAAGCCCCGGAAATCCCGCAGCAGGAGCTCCTCGCGTTCCCGCAGCCGATCCCGGGAGCGCTCTGACCATTCAGGGAAGTACAAGAAGAAGAGTCACTACTACAGGAACCACAGGCACGAGCGGTCACGCTCCTACGAGCGAGCAAGTCACCGCTATGAGCGAGAGCATCCGGGCCACAGCAGGCACAGGCGGTGAATAAAGCAAAACCTTCCTTCCTTTGCCATTTAAGCATTTGGTCTTTGCAGTATAGGGTTAACCTGGCTTGTAACCCACCCAGCTTGAGTAATGTCCATTCTGCTGGCAATTCTGTACTTCCTGTCATGAATCCAAAGGAAAAAACACTTAATGGGACAAGATGATGTGAAAGACTTAATCTGGTAAATGTCTTTTGGTGATTGTTCTGCTGGAGTGTCCCTTCATAACGCTGCAGAACCTGCCTCTGGATGCTCCTATGCCTGCTCTTTAGTAATTCCCATACTGTAGTGCAGTGGAGTGTTACTTGGGACTTCCAGTTCTGCAAGCAGGACCTGTGTTGCTCAGTAGTTGGAATACTGGGCTGAAGAGTCCTTACCTGTGGAACTAGAAGGTCCAAGACAGCTCATAAACCCCATTGGAGTGGCTTGGTGCTAACAAAGCTGTCTTTTCATACTGACTCAATTATGTTGTACAAATGTAAGGTGACTTTTTTTAGAACTGTTGCCTATATTAGGTTATATATGTGTATATATATTTTGCAGTGTTACAGTACAGTATGGGAATATGGCCTTACTAAGCCTTTACACTTTATCCACAATGTAAATAAGCATTTGTTTAATACAGGTGGAAGATATATACAGAAAACTCAAAAACTTGAACTCTATCAAAAGACTTGTGTAGAAAATTCTGATAAATGTGAAAGTATTTAGCTCTGTGTATTGAGAGTAGTATATTTTTATCTGTGCAATGCTGAGTGCAGGCCACCAGCTCCTAAGACATTTCCTATATCTACATTTTAAGTGGTTTGGAATTCTTTACTCAGGATCTTTGACACTCTGAAGAATTAGTAGTTTGTCAATCTGCATGCTTGTTGAAGAACAGAGCATTTACAAAACCAATAGCAAACACCCCCCCACAGCCCAGTAGTATCAGTTCTAGTGGTATATCTGAGCTGTTACTCTCATGCTCCCTAATTTCATTAAAGTATTTGATTTTCTATTACATTTACTTGATAGTAGTTTCTTATGAGCTTATACCACTGTGCCTACTCATAAGGAAGGAAAGGTGGTGCTGATTGAAGAGATGGTCACATTGTAGTTAGATTTAAGAGTAGCCTAAGCTGTTACACCCTGAGTATAGGGGTAGTAGATGTCATGCTGGGCCCATCCTGGAGGAGCAGACTGGTGCGCTGTGTGAAACAGGGTGCTGTTAATGGAGCCTTTAGCTCTGTGAGTAGATCTTACTCACAGAACCACTGCCTGCTGCTTACGTTTCCTGTCTGCTGGGGGGGAATCGAGATGCATGAGGGGTTTTGTGGCTGATGCAGGTGCCTCAGTGTGACAGTGACTCCTCTAAAGCTTCTTTTCAATCCAAACCAATCTCATGGCAACTTCATTTTCAGTGGGGCAAGGCAGCTGAAGGGGCTTGCAGTCAGCCTTTAGCCAGCCTCCAGTCCCATTCCCTGAGCTGGAGGCTGAGCATGGTTATCCTGTGTTATTACCAGATAGCCTGTTCATGAACTTACCTCATCTTTCTTTGAACCAAGTGATGCTTTTGACCTCTGCAGCTCCCTCTGACACTGTGTTGTGTAACAGGAATTAGTGCTTTACACAACAGTTACCTGTTCTAAATGCATCATTACTGGGTAGTTTCACTGCGTGCCCCTGTTTCTTGTGCAGGGGGAAGACTAGTTATGTCCTGGTCACCTGGTAGTAGTGGTTGGTTTGTAGTGCTTTAGCATGGTTCTGATTACATTTCAGCTGAGAAAAGACAACTGATTGGGACAGGCAGCAGATCCAAGGAGATCTCCTTGGAGCTTCAGCAGAGCACTGCTATGGAGTGTGAGTTAATCTGTACCAACCTTAACTCAGCCTTTGCACGCAAATGGGAACTTCATTATTTCAGACTCAATATACTAAATAGTTGAGTACAAGTCAAGGTGTTAACGCAGCTCACAGAGAATGATACAAGAAGTTACTTTGGTCTGTTAAAATATGAACAACCTGAAGAAATGATGTTCTCTAGATAGCTCCCATTTAGTCTTTCTAATTCTTCCTACCTGTGTATTACTTGCAGCAGGTCAACTTCAAATCTCTTTACTAATCCCAGTTCTCAAAGATGGTCAGTATTTCCCTGTTTAATTACTTCTGTTCTGCTCTGCATGCTCTGGAGTTGCCTCTTGTTCAGTTCCTAAGATAAGCAACACATGGAGGGAGAGGTTTTATAGCTGCAGCCTCCTCCTGAAAGACTTGAAGAGAAATTACCTTAGTTAAGCCTCAGTTCTAGCTGCAGATGTGGCCTTCCTCCAGTGCAGGTTGCACAGACAAGGATAAAGGTAAGACCAAGGCTACATTCACTCCTCAATATGAACATAATGTCACTTGGCATAAAAATAAGCATCTGTTCTATAAACTACTGTGCTCATGTACAGCTCTGAGTAAGGAGTGATTGCTTTCTAGTACATCTGTTAAAATCTGGAGAGGGAAAAAACAAGGGAGGAAGTGTGTATATTTTTACATTAAAGTGGTTCTGTTCCAAAACAAAAGGGATTCTATTGCAGGTTTACAAGATGTCCTGTTGTAGGAGAGAACAATCTGTCTTTACCAGCAAAAAGCCTGAGGGAGCTGCACAGAACGTCTTGGCAGTGAGGTGGGTTTGGGAGAAGATCCTTACAGTAGCTGGGGGGGAGTGTAAGGTGGAACTGCTTGGAATGACTAAGATTGAAGAGCTGTTGCATGTGTTTGGTAACTCCAGGGGGACTTACAAACAGGTAGTTGTTCAGCATTTACTGTGCTGAGTGCTAATACCTGAGGATCTGTTACACTTTGCTCAGGAAATAACCGGATCACCATTCTGAAGCAGTCAGCAGAGTCTCAGTTTAAGCCCTTTGCAGCAGTCAGCTTAGGAACCTTGGAATTGAATTCCTTGAAGTCAGGAATCTTGGGCCCCTCTCCAGCTGATCCCAAACATAACATCCATCAATCCACAAAGCTTTTGTGGCTGGAAGGTGTATTTATCCAACTTAAAACGTAGCTGGTGGCTGAATTCTGGTCCTGTTAACCTGTATGATAATGAACAAAGCACAAAGGTGCCAACTCCAACTGATCCCTGGGAGATCACAGAGATGAGGTTCATGAGAAGCTCGGTTCCTTGGCACGTGAACTGCCGTGGGCGAGCTGCCAGCTCCTGGGGTGTGAAAATGCTTCCAAATGGATGAACATCTGTGGTGGGTTTGATGTGAGCCAGCCACAGGGAACTGTTGTGACAACTCAGGAAGTGTGTGCTGCTGACAGGCAGCAAGCCACAGGGCCCAGGGATGGAGCAGAGGGAGCATTCCCTTCTCTCTGGCACCAGTTAGCACTCGTTCACTTCATCTTTTGTGAGCACTGCTCTTGTGGTAGGTGTCAGGTGGGTGATGGGACCCCATGTGGTAGAAGAGCCTGGAAAAAACAGGAGTCAGCCCAGTCTGACAGTACTAAGTCATTTGGTTGTTCCTCACATATCCTTAGTGCCCTCTTACAACCTTGCTTTTCATCTCCTGATTGCTGGTTGCTTTTCCCAGTGCTTCCTACGGAGCTGAAAGGAACCGGGGCTGCCTCTTGTCTTGCTAGAAAAGCCCCCCAAGGTGAACCTTGGGCACATCTGAGGGGGTGGTGATGAAAAGCACTGGGGTCTGGCAGGACTGTGGTGCTTTGTGTTACACCTATGTCCTAACCATGACATAGGAAAGCATCCTGACAGGCAGGCATCCTGCACATGAGCCCTGAGGGAGCCTGTGGTGAAGAACCTGCTTTCTGGACCCTTCAATTCTTTGAGTTCTGCTCGTTTTCCTGGTACGTGGAGCTGAGCATAGAATAAATGATGCGTGACCCTGCTCAGATACCATCCTGTCCTTGAATCCAGATGTATTCTTAAGTCCTTATAGCTAGAAGATCCCACAGCCTCTGACCTGACCAGTTCCTCCAGCTGAAGCCTGTGCATCACGGGTTTGCTGTATTCATAGTCTTTTTTCCTTGGCTGTGTTTGTGACTGTATCACAGATGATAAAATACTGAGAGTGTTTCCAACCTGTGTCCTCTGGGTAAGAAATCATGAGCGAATCTACATTTTCTCTTTTAAGAAGACAAAAACCCTCTAGTTCAGGTGGTTACAAAGATTACAACCCACAGCAATCTGAGCGTATGAGGCTGGAGCTCATGCCTGTGCATGCATATACAAGTCTCAGCTCTTCAGATGAGTTATGACTCCTGTTTTCTGCACATCTGAAGACTGCAATGTGGCTCTTGCCCATCAGAACATCTCTTGGGTTACTCCTCTGATCTCTCTGGTGTTCATATGTAATTCCTTATGGCTGGAGAGAGGTTATCTCGCTTTGAAGGGTCAGTGCTTACTGAAAACTCTGACTGAGAACCAGGCTGTAGTTACCTTTGCTCAGATAAAGCCATCTACCTGCTCTGTAACACAGCCTAGTCCTTCCTTCCTTCTGGGAAATAGTCCTCTAGGCTTCCTGGCCAACGTTTCCTCCCCATGGACCCCACAGCTACAGAGCTCAGTGGGCAGAGGAAGGTCAGACTGCGGGTCTGCATTTGTGTCAGCAGAGGGTCAGCCAACAGAGCTCGCCTTTTTGAGGTGAGAATGACTTCCTCGGATACAAAACAACTTCTAGCACAGCCCATGCCAGGCAGGTGATGCCCAAGAGGGAAAGATGCCCCACTGGGTGAGCCGGAGATGGGAAGCTGGTGGTTCAGGTGACCAAAGAAGTTGGAGTCTGTTGCTGCCTCTGATGGAGCCAGGTCTGAAGCGCCACAAGGGCTCGTGGCTTTGGTTTATGGCAGAGGCTGCTCTTCTTGTGTCCAGCTTCCCAGAGTCTGCTCGGACTGAATCCTGCTGACCTGGAGGCTGTGCATTGATGATTCAAAACCACTTCATTAGAGGGAGTGTCTGGTTCAAGCCTTACTCTGCTTGTTTTGCCTACAGCCTATCACTCGAATAGTAATTTA